CTCATTGGGGACCATCTCAGAAGCTGTCTACCACGTACTTATTGTGATAACTGACTTATTTTTTCCTATAATTTTATTTGGGATTTTCTATTTATAGCCTCTTCTCCTCCCCTCATTTTCCTTCAACCCCCACCCCAACTTTCTCATTGCTACATCTTCCTCCCTTCCCCACCTCATTTTACCTTACCCTCCCTAACCCTCCCTTACCTTCTGTTCTAATGTCTGTCATCCTCCTTCCTCTCTTTTTCCTCCCTTGTCTTCCTCCTCCACCTCCTCTTCCTCTGCCATCCCTTTCGGCTCTTCTTCTGAAAGAGTTCTTAGACACTGGTTGGAGTCTGTCAGTCTGTCTTCCAAGTTTTTCAGCTCCTCTTTCATACGTTTTATCTTTATCTTCTATTGCAACATTCTGGATCACATTTCTGTGCTACTTTTTAATTTGCTAATTTCCGCCTTACTGCCCTCAGTTTAGGGTTTGTCTTATCCATTTTATTTTTTATTTTGAAGAAATTTAAATTCATAATATGGGGGTTGGGGGTTTTCCTGTTCCAGGTTCATAATTTCTTCTCTTTAAATCAGAAATTCATTTATCTCTTGAGTACCTTAAACATGCACTATTAAAATCCTTTATCGCGGCGCCTGGGTGGCTCACTCAGTTAAGCATCTGTCTTCAGCTCAGGTCATGATCTTGGAGTCATGGGATCGAGCCCTGCATCTGGCTCCCTGCTTAGTGGGGAGTCGGCTTTTCCCTCTTCCTCTTGCTCTGCCCCCCTCATGCTCTCTCTCTCTCTTTCTCTCTCTCAAATAAATAAAATCTGAAAAAAATCCTTTATCAATTGGAAGTTTGAACACTGGCTGAATATTTGATATGTTAAGGAATTAATTTGGTGGGGTATGCAATGGTACTATGGTTTGGTTTAGGAAAATACAAGTCCTTATCTTTCAGAGAAATATATTGAGGTATGTATTGGTGAAATGATCTGCTGTAAGAAATCTGGGGGTAGGGAGAGGGTGGGGAATATAAGTGAAACAAGATTTCCTTTAGTTTATAAATTTTGAAGCTTAGTGATGGCTATCTGGAGTTTTATTAAATTATTCTGTCTCGTGTCTTATTTTTGCATAATAAAAAGTTTTTAAAAATCCTTTGTCATGATGTCCCATAAAATTAATTTCATCTGGAGTGAATTCATATTCCAGTTGCTGATTTTATTGGTAGCCTTTCTAAGCACATTTCTTCACATATTTGGGATTTGGTTTGCAGGCTCATTTTGAGTGGGAAGTTTGATTTTTGTCATGTTTTGCTTTGCTTTGCTTTGCTTTCTCTGTCATTTTTGTTTCTCCCTGCCTAGTATTTTTCTGGTGGTCTACACCTGCCACCCACATTCAGGGGCAGGTGTGATTGTGGCCTTCTGAGGCCCCTCTCCTTGGTGGTACTCGTGGTGCTGCGGAACTGGGATGTGAGCAGGGGAGTTGATTCATATGTGGTCTAGGGCTGAGTGGACTGGAGCTGCAGCCTATGGGCTGAACCTCAGCCCTACATGGGAGTCTTCCAGAATTTTTTTCATCAGCTTCTTATTCCTAGGGAGCCCTAGGTTCCAGGTGGCCAGCCTGGCTCCAGTCCCCCTGCTCTATGGAGCAGGCTTTGTTCTGGCTGCCTCTGCTGACTCCAGACCCAGAGCCCAGCAGGCCTGGGGCTCCAAGCCTTACCTACTGCTTTGCATTCCTGTTCTGTTGGATGTTTTAATCTTGTTTTTGAACCTAGCCATGTCTTTTTGGTCTCCTGTTCTTCTATTTTATCTGTTCTTGCTATGTGTTTAGAGCAGGGAAGATGCATCAAAGTGTGAACTCACTGTGCTCTCTTGACTGGAGGAAGTCCTTGACTAAATCACTGAAGATTCCTTTCAATTCCCCATTCAAAGACTGTAATCCAGCAAGTAGATCTTCATAATGGCGATATTTTGCCTTTGTATCGGAGATAGCACACTTTACTCAGTATTTTTTTCCCAGAAGACTGGCTGGGAAATCTCCTTAGAGAAAATAACAACCCGCTACCCCACAAGTTATTCTGCCTGTGGCCTCCCCAGCACATATCCCTCTCTAAAATTGTCTTATTTTTCTGCACACACATTTGTCTCTCCCACTGGGATCTAAGCTCCACGAGAACAGAAACTCTCTCATTTCTCTTTTGTATCTGCAACCCCTTTGCGATAGTGTCTGTCACGTGGTAGGCACTCAATAATGTTCTGATAAATTACTGAACCAGCCGCTGAAACCTGCCTGTGCCTCCTTAATTCCATGGTCATGCTGCGAGGTACCTGCTGCATGGCCTCTCGGGAGTGCTGGGAGTGCTGGGAGGCACGTATTGGACTGTGGCAGCTACGCAGTGGCCAGTGTGTCTGACGCCTGCCTTCATTCATCACAACAGCGTCGTGGAGGCCCCCCAGCGTCAGGCACTGACAGCCAGGCGTTTGTATCGCATTCATTTGCCACAGCCCCTTTTCACGTGTCACTTTCTGTCCGCTGTCACTCACTGGATGTCATTATAGATCTCAGGGATGAACAGGGCGGGTAGGTGGTGCCTGTTAGCGGATGGGGCCGAGGCAGTGAGCCTGCCACCTTGCTGGCAAGCCGTGATGGAGGTGAAGGCTTTGCGGATATGCTGAGGCAGGCCAGGCCCTTCTCACAGAGCTTCCTTTGCAGTGGGTGATACAGACTCATAGCTCTCTAAACAGTTAATCACTTACTTACTTGGTGTCAGCATCGTGGTGTTGCAGATTGGCATGGCTATAAAAGGAGACCTCCATAACCTAATGTTTCTTCTTGTGTGTGAACAGTCTCCCTGTGACCTGAGGAAGCCTAGATGGTTGGGCAGCTTTGCCCGGAGCCTTGGCTCTGCGTCCCGTTTCTGACATAGACGCCCATGCTGGCACAGGCCCAGGAACCATGAGCTGAGGAAGCATCCTGATGTGTTGGTGGGAGGGAGGGTGGCCTCATCCACTGCCCCACCAACCTCAAGTGAATGGCAGCACAAGAGCCTCGTGGCAGTTTGGCTTTCAGATGTCGTCTTCCTGGTTGGCTGGGACTATTGGCCAGAAAATGGCAAGTCCGGAGCCCCGGGAGATAGTCCTGTCCTGGCTGCTTCATTGTGTCAGACCAGCTTCTCCTCTGATTGTACCAGGGACAGCTGATGGTTAGGGCCCCAGATGGCTGCGCAGGGCCCAGCACAGATTAGCTATGCTCCATTCCTGGGACACTGCCTCGGCATCATGCTTTGAAAAATCCTGCGAGAAATCCCCAGGACTCAGTCTCACTGTTTGTATTTAGCTTTTCTGAAGGTTGGCATTCCACAGGCATTCCAGAAGCCTTCTTGGCATTTTTAAGATATTCTACAGCATCCTCAGGAGCCAAGTGTCTGCTCTGTTCTCCATTCTGCAGGTAAGGGGGACATACCCAAGAAAAGGATAGCAAATTGCTCAAGCTTGCGGGCTGGTCAGTGGTGGAGCCCATATTACAGCACGACTGTCAGCTCTCAGGTTGTCAGCCCATGGCCAAGCCCTGCCAGCCGGGTCTCCCTGAGCACTGCCGAGTCCTCTAAACTCAAGCCTTTCCTCAGGTGCTGTCGCTGCTGTCCTGTGCTTGGCTTCTCATTACTGGCCCCCTGCTGGGCTTTAGAAACTTTTCATGTCAGGGGAGTAGCATTGCCGAGGAAATGGGCTTTCAAAAACATCGGTTCTTGTCCTTCTCGGTCTTTTTGAACAGTTCAGACCCATGCAGTGACACCATAGTGTGGTTTGAAGGAAGCAGCTCAGGACTTGGAGTGACGATGACTTACCTTCATGGTGGGCCTCCATCATTGACTAGCTCTGTGCTCTTAGGGTCATGATAATTAAGTGACACAGGAGCCTGAAATGGGGCTGGAGCTCACTGGGCCCTTCCACGGGGCAGACAGTGACCAGATGGCATTACTTTTCTGTACGAGCACTGAGCCAGCCTTCTGGGCTGGGGGACAGGCCTTGGGGCCTTGTCCCACAGAGGTCCTGAGAGGCTCCAGGGCCATGGGTGTCCCAGGCAGGGGACACTGCCATGACACTCCCTTGGTGGAGGTCTGCTGTGACCCCACCTGTTTCTGCCGGGGTTTCCTTAACCTTCCACACAGTCCTGTGGGGCAGACACTTCTGCTTTAGCCTCGTATATTGTACCTGAGTAAGCTGGAACTCGGTCACCCAACTAGTTAAGGATGGGGCAGTCCCACCGCAGGTGTGCTAGCTCCAGGTTGCTTGCCCTGATTAGGCAAGCCCCTCAGCCGAACTGTAACCTCAAGGGAAGGTCCTCACCCACCTCTGCCAGGTGGGTGGGGGAGCAGCTGTCTCTCCAGCTCTAGGGTTCTGGGGTTCTGATACTGCTCACCTTTCGGATCCCTGACCCCTGAAGCAGGGAGTTTACCTCTCCAGAAGAAGGGCATTCTGGCATCCCTGCCTCTGGGAGCTCATGTGTGAGTCGATGGCATGGTCTGGTGCCAGGGGTGAGAACTCTGGCCAGGGAACAGCTCTGGTCTTTCCAGGCTGTGTGGTCTTGAGGCAGTGCAGCTCTGTGGTCAGGCCCTGCATCTGCTGGGGCTCAAACCCCAGTTCCTCCCTCGTAGCCATGAGCTGGGACAGTCGCTTAGCCCCTCCATTTCTTCACCTACAGGGGGATCATATATTCCGTAGGGGTGTTGTGAGGGTCAAATGAGAAAGTCTGTGGGAAGCACTTGGACCAGTACTTGGCACATAGTATGCACTCAGTAAATGTGTGTGCTGGTCTTCTGTGAAATGACTCCAGTAACTATGCACCTTGAAGTTCTCTGCAGGGTACGTAAGTGATGTAGCATAGCGTAGGTTTTCAACTCATGATGGCTGCTCTTTGCATGGTCAGTGTCTCTGGGAACAGAACCTCCTTGGTTTCTCCCCACAGCTCAGCCCAGGTGCTGCCGGCTAACGTGGGCTTTGTTCTCTTCCCACTAGGCCAGAGAGCTGGAGAGCCGGGAGGCAGAGCTGAGCCGCCGTGACACCTTCTGTAAGGAGCAGCTGGGGCGCCTTGGGAGGAAGGTAAGGCTCCTGTCGGCTGCCTTGGGGGACCAGGTCCTGAAAGCCCCCACCCAGGGTCCACCGCCGCTGTGGGGCAGAGAGGAGCCTGCACTCCCCATTCCCCACTCGCCCCAGCAGCCGGTCCCCCTGCGGACCTGCCCTCCTGTGCCTGGCAAGCACCATACCCACACCCTTTCCACAAGTTGTATTCATTCACAGACATAATTGGCTTTTAATTGGCCTGCTTTTTGTGACTGCGGCTGGCTGTGCTATAGTTCAGTTTTAGAAAAAATTCACTTTCACCACAGGGCGGTGCTGAGACCTAGCCTACCTTTCTGGCTTTAGTTAAGCTGCATTGGATAAAAATAATAATAACGTGAAGTTTTGCTGTACAAATATATTAAAGTTGTATTATTGATTTTCTCCTGGGAGTCGGGGAGATCAAAGTGCACCATGGCTACACACTCCCTACATTTTCTAGGGATAAGCCTTTGAAATGAATGAGATTCAAAGACATATCATCATTCCTTTTTTTTTTTTGTTAATGCCTACAACGACTCTTGAAAATTCATTTGGTAACTTGCTTACTTTGGGGGGGGCTTAATTTGTTGATCATGACAGGTTTTTCAAAGAAACAGCTTAAAACATGGAAGGAGATGGTTGGGAGGTTTAAAAAAATTGTTCTTCCTTCTGTCTGAGATGGCATGCCAGGCAACCTGAGCCATCAGCTTATTGCAGGCAAATCTTCGCGAATCGTTTGTCACGCTTTGGAGCTTTGAAATTGACAGTTTGCCTGAGGGGCTTGATTTCCATAGGGGTTTTCTCCTGTGGCATGGCACACTGGAGACTGGCAGAAATGTGGATTTCTGGATTTCCAGGCCGTGGGGATAGGACGGACGCTCCTCCTTGCTCCGGGGACACTCCTGTACACCTCCTGCAGGGTGTTTTAGGGGACGGGCAGAACTGTCATGTGAACACCCAGCACCGCCCGCCGGGGGTAGCGACGGCGTCATCCTGAAGGCCAGTAGGGCACCTCAAGCGGCTTACAGAGGTGGTCCTTAACAAGGAGAGTTTCCTGGAACGACCTCCTGCCCAGGTTTGACTGTAGCTGTAATGACAAGGATTGTGATTTGAGATCCTGGAAAAGGGTAAAAACATTCCACCAGCCATAGCTCTAATTATCACAGTTGCCCATATGTTCATGAGCGCAGATTTTTTTGTGTTGTTATGTGTGCAATTCTCCGGTCTCCTGCTGCGCTCCTCTTGCATTTCCCTCTCTGGGTTTGGCTCCTAGAAGCATGTTTGCGCGTGTCTGCTTGGGGTGAAGGGCAGTAGCCTTACAGCGTTTTTGTGTCTCAAATCTGTTTTCCCCTTGTCACTCTCCTTTCTCATCCCCACCGTAGTTCTCCTTCAGCCCAGTTTGCTGAAGGAAAGGAGATTCTCCTGGATGAGCCCTTCCTTCTCATCTGTTCTTCCCCTCATCCTACAGGGAAGCCCAGACTCCTTACATATGCAGATGTGGGCTTTTTCTAAAATGAGGTTTTCCTACATGATTGTGAAGTTATTGAATGCTTCCAGAAGGAGGTGCAAAAACATGATCACCTGCCTGACTCTTAAATACTAGCATTTTGCTGGTGATAATATACAAACGGAAAGCACCTCCAACATCCTGGAAACTAGAGATCGGTGAGGGAAATGGGTGGGGGGGGTGCGGGGTGGAAGGGGCACTGGAGAAGGGGGAGCAAAGAGGCATGGTCCTAAAGCTTAATTATACCAGTCTTGAGAAAGGTTTTCCATCTTCTCCGTGGATAATTTTATTCCCGTACTGGCTGGGAAGATGAAGAACACGGCATCCGACAATCTTTTTTATTAGCTGTTGCTTTTATATAATTCTGCTTTCATTTGTTGAATACTCTCAGACCTTGACATTTTCAGCTTCTGTACACACAGCTTAAGGGCCTTCCAATCAGCAGGCTCCTTTCTTTTCTTTTTTTTTTCCCGTTTCCTCTTAAGTTTAGAAATTGATGATGGAGGGGTGCCTGGGTGGCTCAGTCGTTAAGCGTCTGCCTTTGGCTCAGGTCATGATCCCAGGGTCCTGGGATCGAGTCCCGCATCGGGCTCCCTGCTC